ATCACCCGACAGCTCAGCTCCATCCAACGACGCTAGGATCAAAACCCTCCAACGTGCCCTCGTTACCGCTCACAAAGCCGTGACCGTAAGACCGGCTCGTCGTAGCAGTCTGGTGACAATGAGATATGCCATACAACCATCGACGCTTCGGTGACAGAGCCCGATAATGCCGACACACCCTGCTCCGCCGGACATCGGGGAAACGCCAACGAATGCGTGTGGACGCGGCTGCAAGCTGCCAACCCGGAAGCCCCCGCATCTTTGCCACTGATGAAATCACAAGGCAACGGTTCCTTGTCGACTGCGGCTCCGGCATTTCCTGCTATCCACGTGCCCATTTTTAAGGCTCCCATCCACCAACGTTTTTGGAGCTCAACACAGCGAACCGGTCCCCCATAAAGACCTACGGCTCGCTCCATCTGCCCATCCAACTAAAAGACATACACCGTGACCTCCTTCAGAATTTTGTCATCGCCGACGTCATCAAGCCAACCATCGCCTCAGACTTTTTGGGACACTACCACCTCCTTCCGGACTGCCGCAACGACCAACTCAATGACGCGACAACAGGACTTTCTTCGCCAGGCCAGCCCACGACCACCCACCAGCCCAGCATTAAAGTACTCAGTGTGGAAAACCTTTCGCCGTACCACGCCATACTTGCCGAATTTCCCAAATTGACGCGTCCCAGCGGGCTGCCACGGGATTGCGACAAACCACTGTACACCAGCATCCGGACCACTCCGAGACCACCGGTTTTTCACAGCGCCCGTCGTCTTGCTTTCTGATCGCTTGCGCATCGCCGAAGATGAGTTCGAGGTCATGCTCCACGAAAGAATCGCCCGCCGAACCGACAGCCCCAGGGCCTCGCCGCTTCACCTTGTCCCAAAAAATACCGAAGGCTGGCGACCCTGTGGAGATCACAGCGCCCTCAACGCTCGCACTATCCCCGACAGGTACCCCATCCATCAAATAGGGGATTTCGCCCAACGCGTCCATGGTTGCCATGTCTTCTCCGTGCTAGATTTTGTGAAGGCCTACACAGAGATACCCGCGAACCCAGACGACATCCCTAAAACTGCGATCATCACACCCTTTGGCTTGCTAGAGTTTCCCCTCATGAGCTTTGGCTTGACGAACGCAGGACAGATGTTTCAACGTTTCATCGATGAAGGCGTCCATGGTCACGACTTCTGCTTCGTCTATCTTGACGATATATTAATTTTCTCCCGAAATACCGAAGACCGCCATATGCACCTTCGTCTTCTCTTCAAACGACTTGATGTCTTTTGAAGAGTAAACGATATCCAAAAGTATTCGTCAATATCCAAAAGAGCGCTCTTGGCGCCCCTCTCTTCAACTTACTCGGTCACCGAGTTTCATGAGAGAGGACTCGACCCTCGCCTCACCACATCTTAGACTTGCAAAATTATCCTCAACCGTTCTCCGCTAAAGACCTCCGTCGTTTTCTCGGCATGCTCAACTTCTACGGCATTTCTTGCCTCACACAGCTGACTACCAATCTCATCTTCATGATGCCTTGGCTGGGCTACCAGTCAACCACCCCGTCACCCGGACGCCAGCTTCGCCACTCTTCTTTTTCTTCCCGTACCAGACGCTCCCTTGGAGCTCTCCCGGGCGCCCCCAGCTTCGCCATCGGCGCCTCCCTCATGCAACACGTCGACAACACATGGCGTCCCTTGGCATTTTTCACAAAAAAACTCTCCATTCGGAAGGCGTCCTTTCCCACCGCCAGGCCCTCCCGAAACAACTACGATATCCGCCCAGACGAACTAGCTAGCTTACAGCAGAGAGCTTCTCGCCATATACAAAGCAGTTCAGCATTTTTACCACATCCTCGAGGCGCAGCATTGCATTATTTACACCAACCACAAATTCCTAACCTACGGTTTCTCTCAACGCCGTGAAAAACTTTCACCGGTACAGCAGAAACAGATTTTGTTCGTTGCTCAGTTTACCACCGACATCCCGCGTGTCGACGGGAAAGATAACAAAGTCGCCGATGCGCTTCCCCGTGTATCGGCTATCAAATTTCCGCCAATAACAGCTGATTTTCTCGCCGAGGCTCAAACAGCCGACACAGAAATACGGCAGCTCCTTAAGAGCGGGTCTTCGCTACATCTGCAACAAGTCCCCGTTCCTGGGTCAACAGCCACTATCTACCGCGACATGTCAACAGGACAACCCAAACACTACGTGCCCCCGTACTATCGCCGTAGCTTTTTCCACCAGCTACACCACCTCATTCATTCCAGAATCCGCGCTTCTTCACGCCTTGTGGCTTACCGTTACGTCTATACATTCATGCAGCGTTACTGCCGCAACTAAGGACGCTCCTGCATTCAATGCCAACGCGCAAAATTCGCCAGGCACGTCACTTCACAGCTAGGAGTATTTCCTCAGCCCTCTTGTCGTTTTCAACACGTCCATCTTGACATCATAGGCCCGTATCCCCTAGCCGGACCTTACCGCTACTGCCTCACCGACATCGATCGATATACTCGATGGCCTGAGGCATGGCTCCTCAAGAAAATCACCGCGAAATATGTCGCCTCGGGCTTGTTCACCGGTTGGATCTCTCGCTTCGGCTCTCCTTGCCGCGCCACAACCAATGTGGTTGTGATGTGGCCTCCAGAAGCTTCTTACCTCCATGGTGCGGGATCACCATTCTGTGGTGATTCTGCACCAGAGCGAGTGGTTACCGTCACCTAAATACCGCCTACCATCGTAACTTTTGCGCAAAAAAATATTTTTTTCAGGCAAACTTAAGAAAAAAATAATACACGGCCATTACTTTTTTTTGCATTTAATTTTTTTAGTAAACGTAGATATACACAGTTCAATAGCTCTGTTCAATAAATAACACCATTGACAATTTTATGCAAAAACATGAAACCATACACGATCCGTCCATTATACAAAGATTGTAAGCTAATCAGTTTACATGTTATTTTCTAGTCATAAAACGAATTGAATGGCAAGCAACGATCGTAGAAGAGACATATATATTTTTTAACTCGCTCAGTACTACAATAGTTAGTCTCTCCAATGCTGTTCCATACAACTGTTGAAAACTGAACAAGGCTTCGCACAAAAGAGCTAAATAACATTAAACATTCTGGACTTTTAATATTGCCCGATATGCGTGTTATGACACAAAAACACTTAGAGACGAGTTGAGAGTATTTGTAACCTGATGATGAAAATAAATTGTATTGCTTAAATAGTAAATATATACCCAAATCCATTGCCACCAAAACATGGGTTATATTCGTATGTGTCTATGTCCACAACAAAGTAGAATCGCAAAACATCACATACACTGCACTTTAAAGAATAGTGTACAGACTAGCCAATATCTCCATTTTAATATTTATTATATAAACCTTAATAAACGCATTGTGTAAAAACCTCCCTAATGGTGAAAACTCCCTTCTTGCAGCATTTTGTGTACATTCGCAGCGAACTAAGTTTACGTTTTAATGCCTAACTGCATGATAAAGTTAAAAAAAAAAAAACTTCATTCAGGAACGAAAGTGCCTTCCTTAGAGATGTTTTATAGGACCGGTTCTCATACTTCTTTTCTAGTCTACTGCTTTTTGGTTAAACTTTAGTTTGAAAAAAAAGTACCAAAAAAAGTTCAAAGGAAAAAAAAAACTTTGGCGTCATGAATACGTGGAACCATCGTTACGCCAATTCATTATTGGATCTCTAAAGGTTACTACCGGGTTCATTTCGTTGTTTCGTTGCCGCTAACCACCAGCAGAGTGCGAGAAAACGGAGTTCCAAACGTGGATTTACTTTTGTTCAAAATGGTGGCTCTATCTGCTCAGTTACTCGTTCGGACACTTTCGTTTTTAACATTCATAATCTTATCAAAAGATAATTTTTAAGATTCTACAAGATATATCACACACACACACACACAACGAAAACATTTTTAGAACACAGCTTTAGTGGCCTGACGTTTTGTTTCCGCATAGAAGGGCAAGGGGAAGCGTTTTAGTTATAGGTGTTTACTTCGCAAGAATATATCTACGGTCATTCAGGTGGCGCTAGATTAATTATAACTCAAAGCCTGAGTAAAAAAAAAATATGCATGTCTGTCAAAGGGTGACAGTTATGAGGCTCCGACGCCATTCCCTGAAGCCTAATAAATCAAACAAAATCACGTAAATAATAAGTAACTGTTGTTTGAAATCTTATTTCTAAATCACAATATTTTTGTTTCTCAAGTTATCACCAGCGGCGATTACGGTAGCTAAAACGATGTCCAAAGCAGAGCATTGAACTGCGTTTGTATTTTCGTCGTTTCAGATTGAAAAACAACTTTTGATTGATCTGAACCCCGATTCATGTTATTGTGCCCTAAAAACCTAGATCAATGTTAGTAATAGTAATAGTAATATTTACATTAGTTCAGGAGAGCCGCGGCGCCGCAGAAAGGCAAGTAGCCCATACGGTGAAGGTCTGCGGTGTTGCATCTGGTGATGATGTGGTAAGATATAGTGTAGAGAGGCTAGATAGCTGCTGACGATGTTTAAATGGAGCTTGTGAGCGAGGGTGAGGGGATGATGGTGGATATTCTGCTACCTAGCAGTCACAAGGCTATAGCGCTGCTTTATTTTTACTTTTGTATATAGAAAAATTAACAGATAAAATGAAAAGCAAATTCAGAATGGACTGGGAGTAATGTTCTTTACAGAGCGTATCTCACGCGAACACCGAACCGGTGATCGCGTAAGGTATGTCTTGGGGATTCCCTCATTTTGTGTTGCTGCTTTTTGCGAAATTATACTTAGTAATTAAAATAACATCGTCTGTAACTGGAGATGTGAATAATAGTTAAGATCTCAATAAGTGACGTTTCCACAGCAAATAACCTCATTCGTAATAAGGCTTTTGCTTTCAGAGCCGTGGTTATACCCTTGCTCACATACTTGAGGTATTTAGTGTCGTTTGTTGTTGATATATTATAGATGGTTGAGGTGGCTGAAAAACACTGGGTCAAGAGAAGGACACACAACGTGTCGTCACGACATGGAGATCCAAAATGTGAATACGCTGAAATTTTTGGTAGTGCTGATGAAAAACAAAAAGAGGAAGAAAAAAAGTACACCTTAGTACTTGAAGCCAAATTTGGAGAAATGTAAGCATCTTGCACTCAAGTTATACCTAATTAAATTTTTTAGTTCCATGGCTTTCGATAGAGTTCAACACATAGGGAAAGGCCTGTAAAGTAATATTTACAAATAATCAAAGTCCTTCAAATCGGTTACTTTTTAAAGTAAATATGTATTAATTGGGTTACTCTTATTAGGTAATAATCACCAGAGTAATTATATTACTTTTGAAAGCTATAATATCACTTCTAACCGTTACAATTTCTTCCTCAACCCCTAAGTCTTTTGATTTACGACTACTCAAACACCCCAATCAGAGGTACATATGCTAAAATATTTCCACTGTATCATCTTTAAAATCTTCCGAACCAGAAATAGTAGCATAATTGCTATCGAGCTCCGCAAAAGAAAGTCACATTCTTTGTCTAGAAAATGTACATAGGGCTTCGCTGGATTTTGAGTTGGTGCTATTAGCTTCAAGTTCTCTCTAATAAAAAAGGCCTGTCAGTCCAATGTTCGACGGTTAATCTAGTATGTGCGTCTGTATCAGCCGTCTAAATAATTAATTACTCTCTTTAAAAAAGTATAAATCTGGCTCAAAACACCTTACCATTTCAACCTCCAAGATAACCAGAACCAGATAATGTAATGATGTGGTGTGACAAAAAAAAAGTTTATATATTTGTTACATTTACGTAACTGGTTGGCGTACCGGAGAAATCAAAAGGATGACCTGTCAGGTGATTCTAATCTGTAAGTGCACATGGCAAGAAGCCCGATTTCGAACCGGTTCAAGAATCGTAAATACGTTTTGTGTGACATTTTAGAACAGTCCTTGTACAAACCTTTATTCATATTTCTAGTATTGTCGAAATATTTTTTTTTTTTTGTGAGGTGGCTAGGTTCATTGAGATGGTGCCAATATTACTAGGGGTGTTCGAATATTAATATTTTCGAATACGAATCGAATATCAAATAGTTGACGGCAGGTGCATTTATTCACAGGATTTCTATTTTCACATGTTGAAACTGCAGTTATTTATTCTTTCTGAATTTTTTTTTTATTTGTGAACTGCAGTTGATTTTTTTGTATGCCAACTTGTAACCTTAACGAGAATAAAAACGCTAAAACGAAAATTCTAGTTGTAGGAAAGATTACAAGTTGTCATGCAGAAAAATCAACTGCAGCACATGGTCAGGTTGGAGGCGCTCCCTTCGAGCGGAAACTACACCTCCAGCCGCAAAAATAAAAAAAATAAAAAAATCCGTTTTTACTTGGCATTGAAGTGGCAGGTATTGCCAGGTATTTTATGCAAAGCTTTGCCAGACTCGGATATCTTAAGCACCCGACAGTTCGCCACCCCTTACACGGATCACTCCCTCTCTCTTTAGCAGTGCCTCCTCCGCATACGCTACAACTTCCAGTTCTGAAGCTGAAACCACTTTGCTTCCCATTGCACTTTTGGCTAAGTGGTCAAATGCCTGCCAAACATCTGTTGACGGCGTTCAGCCTTGTTCTTGTGACTGTGTTGCCATTTCCGGGTGGATTTCTTCAGTAGCATCACATGAGGCCAGCTCTTGCAGCACCAGAGCTTTTAGCCATAATAATTTTTCTTTTTCGGCTTTGAAAATAGTGCACTTGAAGCGTGGGTTTAAGAACATAGCAAGGCATGCTTCCTTGTACTCGTCATACAGGGTGAACCTTGCCTTGATAAATCTTATCAGTTCTGCGGGAAATTATGATGCCCCAGCACAGTAACCTAGACAGTGGAGCATACCGAAAATCACAGGAACTTGGAAAGACAAAGACGGATACTTCTCAGCACTGGCAATAACAGTGGCATCAAACAATGGCTTGAATGATTGTACATATTCAGAAGCATATTTCCATGCTGATGAACACTGTTCATCGATGTCACAGTCCGACGTAGTAAGCTCCACAGTGACTGCTTTTTTGAGTTCCAGAAGGCGAGACAACTTAAGATACTGGCTATTCCATCTCGAATCCACGTCTTGCACCAGACGGAGTGTGTCCTTTCCCATCTTCTTTTGGCACTTTTCAAGCCTTTTTTGAGCTGATGAACTGTGCTTGTAATGTTTCACAATATGCCTCACTTTCTTGCACAGGCGATCAATGGCCGGCGAACGGGATCTCGCGTCATTAATCGCCAGTTGAAGCGTATGCGTGAAGCACGCTCTTTCAGTCCACGGAAGTCTCCTTACCGCATATAGCATGTTGCGCCCGTTATCCGTTACCATGAACTTCGCACATTCATCGGGTATCTATAAGTCACGGCACATTTCGTCCAGAAGAGTTGCGATGCTCACAGCACCGTGACTGGCAGCCATGTGTCGAGTGTTTACTGTGGACCACTCTCTCATGAACTTTGGAGTGAGAAGACGGCGGGTAAAGCTCACGTAACTTTCGTTAGCGCGCGATTTCCACATGTCGCTTCTGAAGGCAACAGCGGTAGTGCCGCCTTCAAAGGCACTGTTGAGCTCTGCTTTCAGCTTCTTTTGGGTGTCGTCATACATCCGTGGCACAAGCACGCGCGAGAGTATACGCCCCGCAAGTGGGCTCATTTTCGTCTTCTGCGCGTGAGAAAGGAAGTAGCGGTGACGTCAGAACGCCGAGCCCTGATTGGCTGATCGCGACCCTCTATCTGAGCGTCGTCTGCTCCTTTGCAACGTCGTCTGCTCGCAACGTCGTCTGCGTCTGTCGTACCTTTCCTGCGACTTTCGGAAGTGCAGGTCTTTACGAGCGAGCTCGACTTCGCCTTTCAGAGAGGGCAGACGAAATAACTCGAGCAGTACGTTGTTTTTGTCTAACAACTAGCAGACGCGCATCAAGGAAGGAAGTCAAAAGACTCACTGGCGAGGTCTCCCGAGGCGCCGAGGTTTGTTTGCTAAGATCCGAGAGTGAGCGTGTTAGTGTCCGCAAGTTCGCTCCCAAATACTTTTTCCCGCCTTTCGTGTGCGGCGAGACTCCTCACTCTTTAACGGCGTCGGCGGGTTGGCGCAGTTAACGTCGTCTGCTTTACGTCTGCTAATCAAAGCGATGGCTGCTTTACCTTTCCTGCGTCTGTCGGAGATTCACCGCTTTTTCACCGGCGAGAGTCACCGTTGCCTCGGAACACAAGGAGATGACAAGAGGAAGATATTGACCTCTTAATCTAAAATTGAGGTCAGCGATCAAAGTATAAGACGGGAAGGGTTCACAAGGGTCGCGCGGGCATATTCCATTCAGCGCGCCAGCCGGTCGTAGGCAGACGGTCGCCGAGTCGAAGTGCCTGCTAGGCCTATCTGCAGAGCACGCTTGGTCGTTGTCGGTGGAATTGTGGCCGTTGGAGCTCTTCCCGGGTGTTAGTGGATCCAGCGTTCTTGTTCGTCGTGGTCTGTTTCAAGTACTTTTTTTCTTTTTTCTTGCTGTTTGAAGTCGGGACGCGTGAGAAGCGCACGTAGAAAAATAAACGTCCGTTGGTCGTCGCGACCGCGACGATGTCGGCCATGCTGATTTGATCGTAAGAAGTGCGTAAGATAGCTTCGAAGCTGTCGTAGGATTTCGTCGTAACCTGCGCAAAACTTACGAAAATTTCGTTTTGTGAATACGAAATTGTTCTCAAGTTTTGTCTTACGGATTTTTTTGGCGTAAGATCGTTTTGTGAACCTGGTCTCTGGCCTCTGCGCTTCCGAAAGTCGCAGGAAAGGTACGACAGACGCAGACGACGTTGCGAGCAGACGACGTTGCAAAGGAGCAGACGACGCTCAGATAGGGGATCGCGATCAGCCAATCAGGGCTCGGCGTTCTGACGTCACCGCTGCCCCCTGCTCAAGAAGCAGACGAACTTGCCCTCCGCATAGAACGGGATGGTAGGCGATAGTTGGGAAAGGCTTCTGTCAGAAGTTTTTTGAAGTCGCTGTCTTCCACGATGCTGTAAGGCTGTAAATAGAGCGCCACCATGGCGGCCACCTTGTTATTTACCCCTCGCACCCTTTTTTCTGGCAGGGGCTCCGTGCGGCACACGAAGTTCGTCAACGTCGGTTGATCTTTTCCTGGCGTGCGGGCGGAAATCCCACAATACTCTTTCAACAACACAGGATGTGCTCTGAAATGGTTGACAAGGGGCGTTGTCGTACCTGTGGGCGTTTTAAGCGTTCACTCGCATGCCGTACATTGCGCCATCGATCCCGTCACCCTCTCAAAATATTTCCAAATAGCACTCCTCTTTCTTGGTTTTGGTGCCGTTTCCCGTTCGTTCCTCCGCTTCGCAGACAGTTCCCCGCAATCACCTCCATCCGCAATAACACAACTGGGCGAACGCGAAGTGAGCACAGTTTACAAAGTCAGGAATCACAAGCGAACAGAAACTCGCCGATGACCGCTACCGACACCGGCACCACAAGCTTAGGCTGAAACCGCCATGCAGCTATGTCGCTCTCAGTGGGACCTGCTTAACGAAACTGAAAGCAAAAGTAAAACTTACACTTGCGAATAGGTTTTAAATATTGGATTAATTTCGAATATTCGTGTTACGACGAATATTCAAAAAATACCAAAGACTTTGTTTGGAAATCGAATGCGAAGATTAAATGTAGAATATTCGATTCTTATTCGAAATTGGGAATATTCGCCCAGCCCTAAATACTACTATAAAAATGAGTACTTGTTTTATGTGCAAAAGCATCAATAGGAGCGTGTTGCTGTTACCGGTACAGCTTAGAAAGAGAACAGCACTTCTTCGTTCATCAGGAAAGGATGGAGACGTTCTCGGTTGAAGAGCAAGGAACATCTCCCAGCAAGGAAGTTATAATGGGCAAGAGGTGGCGTCCGTATTCTCCGTGCCTGGAGCGAAATGTAACGGAAGTAGGCGTGGCCACGAAATGCCTTCTTATTGTCTCGGCTATTGAGACGACCCATTTCCTGCGTCTTTTTTTTTTACAAAGTTCCCCCATCTTTCACCACAGTCCCAAGTAACTTTCGTTAGGAATAGGAATCTCAGTTAACGGACGCCGCCACGAAAATATG